AGCGTTTTAGCATTTGAGATGTTCAATGACGGCGATCTCGCCGTGATCGTGGCGGTCCGCGGTAAGACCGTTCAGGTACAGGCTGCCATTTTTGGTCAGGGTCGGGAGACCTTCTTTCTCTAGTTCATCTGTGAAGTTCACGGACAGGGTCCTCCTGCATTGCATGTCCTGACCTGGATTTTGTCCCAGCTCTGACGACAGCTTGCGCTTGATGTACGCTGCCCGCTGAAACTTGTCGTAAACTTCCACGCTCAGGCGGCGGCGCGTCTCTTTGAATTCCGCTGACACATTAGCCGTCCATTCTGCAGCGTGAGCGCGGATCTCTCCCACCTGGAACACACCGAATCGTCAGTGGGACCAAACGCAGTCAACTGTTGTTTAGAAGCATTTAAGAGGTGTAAATCAGAACTTCAAAAGGCTGTTTTCTGTGAAAATGTTTCAGCTCGAGGGAATGAGAAGGACGTGGGCTGACTCGGACTCAGTGCAGCTGGGAGTGTTAAAGAAAGTAGTTTGGGCCTGGTGATATAAGACCGTACAACTCAACCACAGTGTGCCGATTTTTAGGATCCCCTCATCTCAATCCGTAGCTGTCATTGGGCTTATCATGTGCAAATTTATTCCAGACAGCAACATAGTGTCGGCCCAGATCCGGGCCACATCTGGTGTAACAATAGATTGCCATGTTGTTCAAACTATAATACAATTTTTACTATTTTTATGATCACGCTTTCCAATATTTGTGTATTTTCTGTAATATATACCATGTATAGTGCTATAACTAATACTTATATACAGCAAGGAAGTATCGATTCAGCAAAAAAGACTGTAAAGACTAAATTCAATGTCAAATTATCTTTTCATCAAAGAATCCTGATTTTTTATTTTAAATCAAGGTTTCCACAAAAATTCTAAGCAGCACAACTCTTTCAAACATTTACAACAATACAATGTTACTACTATTAAAAATGTTCGAGCAGCAAACCAGCATTTTAGAATGATTTCTGAAAGATCAAGTGACACTAAAGACTGGAGTAATAATGATGCTGTGAATTCAGCTTTGAATTCAGGAATACAGGTATAAAATCTTAAATTTTAATTATTTAAAATAGAAAACATAAAATGTATCTTGAAATATTATTACCCTTTAGAAGTCCCATTTTTAGCAGCCAATATTCCAGTCTAATGAATCTACCTGTTATATAATATATAACTGAATTGAATTGAAATATCTTTAATGTCCCCAAGGGGCAATTTAGTTCACAACCGGTAGCCAACACATACACATTCACACAAAAACGGATAAAAACAGGAGATAATAAATAGATAAAAAACATAAATAACATGTACCTATAATTTGTTGAGAAACCCAACAGCTAATGGTACAAATGATTTCAAATATTTGTTGGATCTGGCACGTTTTCGGTAGGTATACCTCCTTCCTGATGGTAGGAGGCAGAACTAGAGTGTAGTGGGTGAGTGGTGTTAGCAAAAATGGCCATTGCCCTCTGTGTAGCTCTGGCCTTATACATACGCTCAATACTGTTCAGATCAGTACCAATTATTTTCTGACATATAAGAAATCATATATGTGCTGATTTGGTACTTACATATCCCATAATAGTATTACTATTATGATAATTATTATCACAGTTGAAAATAATTCTGCTGCCTAATAAAGTGTGGAAACAGCAGTACAGTGTTTTTTTTCAGTTGCTAAAGTATATGCAGGTCGCTGTACACTTTCAAGTCAAATATTGGTTTTAAAAATGGAAAAACAAGACATTTTGAAAGTGCTGCACTATGGAAAACTGCTTGAATGTACAAGCTGCCGATTCTGCACACAGAGTGTTTGAATACAGCATTTTTTAAGAATATAAATAGTCATTGGTTACACTATGTCTTTGTAAGAAGCTTTAAATTTATCCAAAAATAATGTATTGTAACTGTCTAACTGTTAAAGCACTACAAATTTAGGATTAATCAGTTCCTGCCAACCAAACCTCTAAAACATAGTACAGTTACACAAATTACAGTAAGACTATAGTCTCTAATGTTCACAGCATTGTTCACAGCACCTTAAAATATATTATACAGTAACTTACCACTACCAATTTATTCACAAAGAAATGTTCCACTAATAAGCCAAGCCAATTTCAAGACAAATTGTGTGGGTTGCCTCTCAAAATAGAAATTGTAATAAGAAGAACAGAGTAATAAAAGAGTAACACCGCTGAAAAAAGAAAGTGGTGTTTCCTCTCTAATGAGGTCATTAGATGGTAAGGTGGTCAAAGGACTCTAGAAAAGTTCTAATTTGAGATGATTATTCCTGATGCAAAAGAAAAAGAAAGAAAAAAAGAGCATGTACAGCATTTACAGCATTTCAGAAACCCTGATAGGTGATATATTATGGATGATAATCAAATAGCAGAAACAGGGTCATTCAGACCTTTCATTCACATTAATCCTGCACTGCATTTGCCTTCTATTTACAGTAAGATGTGATAATGGACTCCGGTTCAGATTTACAGTTTTCTGCTTTCCATAGCACTTTCCATACATGTTCTTGTAAAGAACAAATCCCAGCTCCTCAACTTAAAACTTTTTATGTTTTTGTGATACTATAGAGTATCATGTCAGAAAACCGCACTTTTATGATCGCATCAGAAAAGCACAAGAGGTCAAGAGAAATGTCTCATTATGCCTTTCAGACAGAGCAAACATTCTGTTCCGGCTAATCCAAGCACAATTCTCACTCTGGTGTTGCCTGAAACCATATAAACAAGCACATACCTCCTCTTTGGTTTTCTTGGAGATGACCCGGAGCCAGTCTCCAATCATACTGAGAACTGCAGCGAAGTAGGCAAGACCCACCAGGATCCAGAACCACACCAAGGGCTTATAATAGTCCAGATACTCAATCTCAGAGCCTCCTGAATGAGAAATGAACCCAATCAACTCATGAATACAATCGAATTGTTTTTCAGGGTATTTGTTTGCTGTCAGAAACTAACACAATATACTTAAAATTGAGACTGAAGGAGTAAAGTAGTGACTTCATTCACCTGCCACAAAGTCTCCAAATCCAATAGTGGTTAAAGTGATGACGACAAAATAGATGGCCTCCAGAGCGCTCCAGCCTTCGATGTGTTGGAAGATGAGAGCAGGGAGGGCCACAAACAGCAGACACCCGAACAGGATGAACAGGACTGTGGATGTCACACGGATTTTAGTTTGGCTCACGTTCCATTTCTGTAAGGGAAAACAGATGCAAGGAGAGGTTGAGAATGACGGGTGGAAAAGGCAATTAAGCTCACTATAATCACACTGTTGAGAGACGTCCACAGTACTTAACCAGAAACCGTCTGAAAACATTCATTCTTATGCAATGTCTGGGATCTAGTAAACACGGTCACACATGAGACATAGAGAAGCACACTACCATTCAAGAGCCTGGGATCAAAAAGATTTTATAATGTTTCTTAAAGTCTCTTTTGCTCATCAAGGATGCAATTTTTGTGTCACATGATCCTTCAGAAATCATTCTAATATGCTGATTTGGTACTTAATCAACGATCAGTTGCTTAATATTAAAATATTAAATCTTTTGTAACAATGTAAATGTCTTTACCATTACTTTAGATCAATCTAATGCATCCTTTTTTAAATAAAAAACTACAAATAATAAAAATAAAAACCACACACTTTTGTATGCTAGTGTACATAAAGAAACTCAAGTAAATAATTAATGAATAAAAATCACAAACAAATAGATTTAAAATTTTGTGAAAAATTTATGAAAATAATAAATCAACTTCTAATGACATCATCTATCATACATCCAACAGTCACGGAAAACCTGGAAATATCGGGCAATTTTAAAATGTAATCCAATCTGAAAAGAAATTATTATGAATATACATTTTTAGTATTGTTCAGCTGTAAAAAAGAAAATAATTATGATGTCATAATGACATAATGATGTCTATTTTCTGATTAAGAAAATACTGAAGTTGAATCATTTGTTTGAATTAAATTAACATTTTTGTCTTACAGATTTACTCAATTTAAAAAAATAAAAATGTGTGAATTAAGTGTTATAAACACTTATATCAGGCTTTATTAATAGACTGTATTAATATACATTAATTAGCCAAGCATGTACAGTTATTGCCCAAATGTTGATAATCTCAAGCCATGCTGTAGGACGAATGATCAGCCTGGCTGCAATACTGGCCAATCACTAATCACTCAAACGATGCCTGCAACCAACCAGCATCATGAATGAAATAAAAGGCTATAAAATATGGAAATATGTCATCACAGGACAGAAAGCTGCACTCGACAAGTAAATTCATTGAGTAGAGTTGGTGAAATAAACACTTGCCCTTTCAGCCATTGTGTTTGTTATGTAGTACACAAAAGAATGAGTGCACCAGCAATAAATAATTCACTTTGCTGTATTGATTTCTGACGAAGAAAAAAAAAAACACTGTATTGTGCTCTTCATTGAACACGTCAATGTACCAAAACACAACAGCTCAGCAGAAAAGAATGTTGGTGTATGTGCAACGAGTGCAAACAAGATGGCCACCAGAGGCACTTAAGTTATTACAGCGAATCATTGAAGTGGCCGAATGTTCTGCAGCACAAAACAAGGCTATTAAGCAGGCATTTCTACAAAACAATCATTATTTTATAGCTGCAGGGGATTTATTGAGCGAAGACGACACAGTGTATTTCTGATTGAAGGCATTTGATGTGCACAGCCTTATTTCTAAATTAATGATATACTAATATTGTTTAGACGTAATATTTTGACTTGCCATGGTGGTTATTACACATTAAGTTAAAGTTTAAATATTTCACAGAATTGGTATAATCTGTTGTTTTAACTTGAATACCCATTTACATTGTTCAGTTCAACATGTTTTTCATTAAATCCGTTTAAAAAAAACTATTCTGGAAACAAGTTAGTATAGATGTATGATTCTAGAAACTGCTGCACAAGTAAAAGGATTATAATTTATAAAGTGCATTAATGGTATAAATCCTCTGAGCAATTTTGCTAGTTTTTGGATCTTAATTTAATCTCACCACAAACATCTTTTCCACTTTGGCGATTCCTTTGCCAAATATTGTTCCCAGCTGATCGCCCACTCCTGCCAAGAGGAACCCAAAGAGTGGAATCCCCAGCAGTGCGTAGATAATGCAAAAGATCCTTCCTCCTTTTGTGTGTGGAGAGACATTTCCAAACCCTGCAGAAAGAGAAGTCCCAGACATTATGTGCAGGAATGATCTGCAAAAACATACAGGTCCTAGCTAACAAGGTAAGGTTCTCTCAAAGTTATGAACAAACGTTCTTCCAGTAACATTAATAGAATTTTTGTTCAGAGTCATCTGGTGGTCTATAATGCTGCTCTCAAAACATTAGCACTTAGTTGGATGTTAGTCTAATGTCTTTTAAATATTACTCGCTACTTTTTCAGATAATTCAGAGAACATTCAAAGGTAACACTCCAATAATACCTGAAAATTAATAAATACATTACATTAACGTTCACCAAGAATCAAGAAAAAAATATAAAAACATTTGTAAAAACCGCCCTTTTGAACGTTGGAAGAACATTCAGAAACAATGGTTTCATAACTTAATGGGAATATTCACAAAATGTCTTAGAACTAATTTTTATTAGCTGGGGTATTACTGTTCTTCCTGAAACATTATTTAGTTGTTTTCTAAAGCTTGTATTTTGTCAACCATTGTCTTGAGTCAAACCGATAATTTAGAGAATTGAAAGGGCCTGCAAATCTCCTACCCTCTTAAAAACAGAAGTTATAGGTATCAAGAGAGTCAGAAGAAACTTCACTGAGACCGTCTCTAAAGGTTCCTCCTAAAAACTCTTCTAAAACAAGAGATCCTATGAATGAACTGGTGGTCTGCAGAGAGAAATTAGCTTTTCTGACACGTCGTAGGATGCGGGAAACCAAGACGTGTGTCTTACAGAAGCCCCTTCAATGTGAATGTTGCAAGCCGAAATAGCAGCCACACACTCCTTCATGGTAGCAGTGGTTAGTCCTGCTAAGAGAGGCTCTTGAAGAAACTCCAGTACTGAACCAACCAGGTAGTTAACTGGGTTAAGGCCCTTGCACACTGAGGCCGAAACTTTCGTATCATCCCAAGGCGTCATATACAATGCTTTTGCCAAAGCGTAGGCATCCAACGCACATGGTACCCTTTAGCGTCAATATAACACGCACAGAGTATGGGTAGGTTTAGGTGGGGTAGGATTAGGGTTAGACCAATCTGCGATTTATATTGACGCTAAAAGGTGCCATGTGCGTTGGATGTCTATGCTTTGGCAAAAGCGTCGGTCGTATATGACGCCTTGGGATGACAATCGTCGTATATGACGCCAGGCTGTTTTTTTCGTATTCGTGATTCTGTGAATTGTCAAAACACTATTCAAACACCATTCAAACTGCTTGCTATGAATGCAAAAACACAAAAAAAATCTAACCCGATACGATTTTTTTTAATGACGGACGAAAGTTTCAGAGACGAGTGTACACACAACACAAAATTATTGCCCGTCACCCACAGAAATATATATCGGACATGGCAGAACAACTATCCTTCACTTATTCTTTGTTTTAAGTCAATTTCCAGCTCTAAAACACTGAGACTGTGACAAACTATACAGACAAGCAACTTCTAATGACAAAGGAGCTGGTGATGCCGCATCAGGTGCCATTTTATAGATACGTCACCTGAATTTCTACAAGAGCAGTGACATTGGTGCGCGTGTACACATGATTCAGACTCAGGTCACGCCGACAACATTCCTACAGCGCCCACTCAATAATGCAGCGTCGAAGTTTACTCACAAGGGAACCGATTCGATTATTTTTTCACATATTAAGCCTGGTTCAAACCAAATCTAACAAATCCCTTGGTTACAACTTAGATTATGATTTTGCACTAGGAGTATGAAGGGAAAGTAACATTTAGAAAATTTCCTTTTACGTCTGAAATGCATTACATTATGCATTTTCAAAGACATAAGCTTTGAACAACATTAAAATGTGAGAATACAGCAAGAATACCAGTGGTTGCAGAGTGTGTAATACTTCCACAATAGGAATTTTAGCAATTACAAGAGGCTAAGCCACTGGACAGGCTCACCATGAGCGAAACACAGCAGGAGGGGGGCATTTCCGCAAGAGCCTCCATCCATTACATTTCCTTTTTCCTTGAAACTCATTAACTGGGCAATCACTCCTCATGCACTCTATTGTCTTTTAAATCTAATTAAATCAAAAAACCTTGAAAAAGACATAAAATGGTTTCCTACGAGACAACCTTAATTACACACTGCACAATGGAGACGAATAACTATAATGGCTTTACACAAAGCCTTTTGGAAGAATTATGCACATGTTTATGGTTACATAATATCATGCTTGATTCCAGCAGATTAACTATAAGGATTCAAGTCTATAAAAATTTATAATGCGTGTCAATGGCTTCAGCATTTCTATTTCCTCTTTATATAAAAAACACTGTGGCCAGACGCTGCATTGTTCAGATATTTTCTAACTTTAAATGGAAACAAACAACGAGTAATTAATTTGTCATAGACCTAGAGAAGAACATTAACTGGTGACCAGTGGGCTAAAACCATTTTGCCAATTTCTTTTTTGCAGCCCCCAATTGATTGAACATACTTAGATAAAATAGCTGCTCTAATAAAAAGTTTCACAAACATAAACCAGCTCTGTTCCGATGCACATATATTTATTTGTGCCATATCTATAAAAATGTTATGCAAAATGACTTGGATATAAACAAATCCTTCAAAACAGAACCTTCATAGAAAAAAAAAACCCTGAATGCTCCATTTCTCTTTGCTTAACCAATATCTTGTTTGTTCTGTCTGCCACATGCAAACAGTCAGACTTTGTTTTGTTCATCATACTGCGAGTCAACATTATCAACCCTGAACATCGACTCAAGTTAAGTCTGTATTTACACCAGTTGTCACAAAGTCTTACATTTGTTGATGGCTTGTTGAATTTGTAAACAATAGCTTTAAAAATGAAATAAAAACACAATGATAATGTTTATCGAAACATGTTACTTTAGGGCATCAAGTCATATTTGTTCTTCAGGTAGTCCTTTTGAAGAATGTATGGACAGTATATTTTTTTATTTTACACCAACGACTATTTTAACACCTCAACCATAATGATAATGAAAAGAAAAGTACTTAAGTAAAAATGTTTTGTACAAATGTACACAAAAAAAGCTGTATAGTCCCAGTATTGAAAGCACCATAAACACGGTTATGAGTCTAACACCTAAATTACTGAAATTATGTGTTGAAAAAGCAGGATAATATCGGTTCTCAAATCTGATGAGAAATGAATGTCATGTGCTGTCTTAGAGCACAACATAAGTCCGTTTGACACAGGGAACAAAATGTCGTGCTACCGTCATTAGCGAAGAAGCATTACTGGAAGACTGACGCAAATAGAGCTTAATGAGCACACAAGTGTGTCTTTTGAGGGCTTCACCTTTGGCAAATACTCTGCACTCGTGCTGATGGCTGTTAGTGAATGTTATGCCCTCACCAACAGATGAACGCATAAGGACACTACAAAGTGAGTGCATCTTGCTGGTGGAGGTGGTCAGGGGGAGTTGACAGGTTTTCATTTGAATGTCTAAAGATAAGTATCATTTGGTCACCTATTGGTAAACAAATTAGCAGTTGGAGCTTTAAAGGGCAAGCCTATAAATTGACTCCCTTGGGTGACACAAATACATTATGGATGATGTCGATTCATGCAAAATAATACAACAACATTAATAAAATAACTCTAAGCAACCTGTTTAACAAAAATGTTAAAACAATGAAATCTAATAACATGTATTTTTTCCTCACGTGCACACACAAACAACTACACATACATATATACATATACATACATCCAGAAGATCTATACCTATGCTCATGAGGGCTGCATTTATTTTACCATTAAAATGGTCAAATAATATATTTTATCAATAATTCCTGATGGCTGAATTTTTAGCAGTTACTCCAGTCTTCCATGTCACATAATCCTTCAGAAATCATTCTAATTTGCTGATTTACTAAAGAAACATTTCTTATTAATGTTGAAAACGGCTGTGCTGCTTAATATTTTTGTGGAAACAAGATATTTTTCAAGATTCTTTGATGAATATAGACAGCATTTATTTAAAATATTATTTTTTGTAACATTATGTATGTCTTTACTGTCACTTCTGTTAAAATGAAATGCATCTTTGCTGAATAAAAGCATTCATTTCATAAAAAAATATATATACATTTAGGGCATTCTTAAACATTTTTTAACATGTACATAAAACATGGAGATGTGATGTGCAGCCCCAAGACCTTGAGCTTTTATACAGTTGAAAGAGGCCAAGTTATCAGACCAGCTCAGTTCATTAATTGCAATTTGTACTTCGCAACCTATGCAGGGACAAGGAGGATTGATGAAGGGGGCTTTCTCTGTAATTCACTACTTGGCTCCCTTCCAGCAGGTTTCAAAGATGTCTTACATATGTATTCAAGAACAGTCAAAGCTTTTGAAAGGATTAGTTAAGGTTCATTAATCAGGCTTATTAATCTTAATGGCAGAGGGTTAACATTAATGCAATTTCCTTCACATCCTTAGCAATGAAGTCAAAATAAAAAAATGCAGCTGCTGATTATTTGCTAAGAAATTAATCCATAAAATGCTGAGTGTTCAGATCACAAATACATAAAGATCCTTGTCGTGGTAAGGGGGAAAATCATAAGTTGATTAATTACCTTGATATTTTAATTGCAATTTAACAAAAATATTTGAACTAATAAAATTTACATTAAAATTTTAGTCGTTAATGCGATGTTCACGTTTAGTTTCCTTTTCGTTTCCATGGACTTCTGGGTGTTCTTGTTCTGGTTTTCAGCTTGATTTTTCCTTGCCGAAAACCTCCGCTAGGTCCTGGTATTCTTGGGGGATATGGACAGTTTTCTGAAGTTTGAAGTTTCTTGAGCACCAAATCAGTATATTAGAATCATTTCTGAAGGATCATGTAACACTGAAGACTGGAGTAATGGCTGCTGACATTGTAGCTTTGCCATTGCAGCAATAAATAATATTGATTTAAAATGGAAAACAGTAATATTGTAAAATATCACAATTTAAAATAACTTTTTACTGTATTTTTTTATTTTTTTTAAAATCATACCCACCCACACATCCAATATAAGCTGACAGACTCACTGGAGCACATCTAAAGGTAAAGCTGTAATAGCTTGTTTTCATATGACGTCACACCACTGCGTTGCCATGGCGCGAAATACAAATGGATGGCAGGAAGTGATTTGCTGCACTATAACAAACTCCAAATGCCTGTGTTTTGCATCGTTTATGGTTGCTTGAATCGATCAAACCACAAGGAGTTTTTATCGTGTACCAAAAGTTGTTGTTCATAAGGGGGGAAAATGCAAGAAATTGACCGAAAAACTCTGAAAAAACGGCTTGCAAACCTACGTCTGCGATCGGGAGAAGCCGAATGGGAAAATGCCCGTGTGTGTAACGTTAATGATCACTTCGTCAAAGGTGAGTTAATACAACTTAAGTGGCTATGTTTGTGTAACGTGTAACATTTCCGAAATTTGTCAAGTCAAAGTATGTCTGTAAAATGAGGTAGTTGCTGATATCTACCGCCTCGATGGCCGAAAAATATTTGCTCAGTTGAAAAATCGCTCCTCTTCATAACGCAAGGATCACGTCCAACATATGTTTGATTTTTTGTTTATATCTTTCTCTTGTAATAGCATGTAAAGTAGTACAGTACGGACTTTCCCCCCATCTCGTCCATTGCGCTCTTCACTCCCTGCCCTCCATCTGAATTCCGTACGTCATCATAATCACGTGACTGAAACCCAGCTATTGACATATTTCAAAATTAATTAATTGCAAAAAAAAAATAAAATCAATTGTGCAGCCCTAATGGTGGTCTATATAATTGAGTTAAACTCGTTTTACCAAGCACCTTTCCCCAAGTTGCTTTCATCAAGTAAATTAAGTTCTAATGAAATTCAAAGTCACTAATCAATTAAAGAATCAATTAGGGTATTGATACGGAGTACATCTGTTACCTATCGTGGTGATGACAGTCCCTGCAAAGAAGAAGGAGCTACTGAGGTCCCACATGCTGCTGTCATTGGAGGGGTGACCCGAGGGGTTGACCCCGGCCCGGATAGCAACCACCACTTGCTGCAAATAAGAAAACAGGTCGTTAACAAAAAAACCAAAATGAAAAGTCAGAATTTACTCCCGTCTCATGTCATACCTGTATTTTCTTTCTTTGTGAAACACAAAAATATATCCTATGCCATCCACAAAAGAAAGAAAATATTACAGGGTCAGAATGACCTGAAGGTTGAACAAATGATGGCAAATCTTCATTGAGACAAGTATTACATGAATATACAGGACATGTGATTTAGAAAGAGAGTGCTATATTTCCAATTTACCCATTTTGAATCATATTCAGCCATGCTATTTCCAGTATAACTCCATCTGCTATTGTGCAGAGAGATGTAACACATTTAAATCTGAAGCAGACTGTCTCTGAATGAGCAGGATGGCTGGCTCCAATTGCCTACATTCAGGCCCTCAAACAAAGACATGGATCTGTTCTTTATCAGTGTTCCACAGCAACTCCTGAATTTACATCACAAATTACCGTGTCAGCTGGGAGTTAAGACAGAATTTGTCCAGTAATTTCATGCACTGTCAAATCTGTAGTATGGCTGCCTTATCAAATGTGTTGCCCTTTGTTTGTGCAGCAGGAATGATATTATACAACTTGTACAGTTTTTTCAGACTGTGCCTCTTCTTTTAAAGAAGGGATCTTGGCATCATTGAGATGTTGACAAAATTTTTGCTTCTCTGATCAGTGTGTTCCTTGAAGACTTACTACAAGCTTGGATTGATTCCAAACTTATGGAATGTGTATTTCTTTAAAGAGATTTTCTTATCCCTTTAACACTATAGGTTAAAAAGCACTTTAAAAGGACACATTACTCAACGAGTGAGTGAAAGGTCAAAGCTTTGCTGCTGAAGTTTTTCTATTTTCATTTCATATGCATGCAAATTTCAGAAACTAAAGTAAGTGAAGGGCAAAGGGTGGAGCTGTCCGTGGTCCTTAACTCATATCTCTTTCAGGATTTCTCTCATTACATGTACATGAAGCAGAACGTAGCATGGCCATCTCTTATCACAACTGCGAGATGAGATGAAGTACAAGATGTAATGTCAAAATAATGAACAATTGGATTGCAATTTTTTTTTTAAAGTTGAGATGTTCAAATCTTGTTGATGTTCAAATAATGGAAAATTGCATATGCAAAAAAATACAATAAAAAAACAAGTTGCAATTATAAAATGGATTTTTTAAAAAAACAAACAAATGGAAATTGAATTTAATAAAGTATCAGTCATGATATATAAATATAATGGAAAACTGCATTGCAAATTAAAATTGCAATAAACGGAGCATTTCCAACAGGGTCCTCTCACCATCGGTGCTAGGGCCCTAATTACTGGTATACAATGTAATGTCGACAAAAAAACTGCAGGAATTAAAAATAATGTTGCAAATAATGTCAAAAATAAATAAAATAGAGCTGGTTGACTCCCTCAACCGGTCCCCTGATTTGGAGGTTTGAGTCCCTATATTTTATTTTTTAACTCTTCACAGATCTAATTATCTATTTATTATTATTATTTATTTATTTTATTTATTTTTTGTCTTTTGTGTGCACACTGTGCGATTCTACTGGTAAATGTTTGTTGGTATGCTTGGGTCTATATGTCTGTCCTCATTTCTGGGCCTGTGTTGGGTTAGTTCACTGTGGGGTGGGGAGGGGGTTGGAACGGGTACAGGTGTCATTTAGGTCCCACTTTGTAATGTTTATTGTTAACTATATACATTTGTCACCTGTTGCTAAAAGAAAATGGAAAATGCACTTAATAAAAAAGTGGGGAAAAAAAGTGGAAAAAAATAAATAAAAAATGGTTCACGAAACAGAGGTGCTCACACAGAATGCATTTTTCCACCGTTGTACTTTTCCATTGTTTTTCAATGTAAAGACACTAGACGGATCTTCTAATGGCAGAACAAGTGGATGTTCGAATGGCAGGCAGTGCTCAACTTAAAATTAGTTCAACTTAAAAGTTCAAAAAAAAAAGTGTCTAGACCTTGAACATCCCCAAACAGTGATGAAAATAGGACAAAAAGACCCTTAATTTCGCATTTCTTCATTTATGTCACATTGGGCCAATATTTACTGCAAAATATTCAAGCACTAAGTATCTATCTCTTTTTTAATTCTTGTTATCGGGTGTTGGGCCACCAGGGCCTCTGAGATAAACTCAAAGTCCAGAGAACTGTTAGTAGCAAAAGAAAAACTGGGCATATTTTCACTAAGCAGTGAGTGAGCAATACACGGTCAAAAACATCTGCACATTGTGCAGATTCTCCTGACCTAAATATAGCAGGAGTCACTCAGTGTATCCCAGCTGCTCATCCATGCCTCCTCCTCCTCCTAGTTGGCTACAGAAGAGCTCAGGCAAAAGTGAGAGGCCATTCTTTCCATGGGGAGGCTTTCCTGTTTGTGAACACCAACTAAGTGCCGCTACAATCACTACTGGGTTTGGGCTGTTGGCAGCAAAGCAACTTGGCAGGAATCAACATTTGTTCAGAGGTGTGTGGATGTGAGCGTCAGAACCGTAATCAAGAGATGGGAAGTAGATGAATGCATGGTGTTGGGATGCAATTTATCGTAAAAGGTAAGGGGGAGGAGTACGAGTTGTCTCCTGGGGTCAGGAAATGTAGATTTATAGCCTGTCGGAGAACTACAGGAATATCTATAGGTAGGAGGTTACTTTAATGCATCACAGCGCACAACGACCGAACCGTATGGAAATCAAACGTAGAAATATTGCTCAAATTCTTGAAATGATTATTTAAATATTGCAAAAACAAAAGCAACACTCCCATCCCATGTGTTCACAATTTTATGCACATTTACAGTAAAAAATAAAATAAAAACATTATCCTGAATTTAAGCAATATCCTAAGATTTATATAAGATTTTGTGGATGAAAATCCAGCTAATGACACACAGCATCCAGGACCTTTACACTGCTGCTAGAATTGCAGTAAACACTAATCCCTAAATAGAAAGTGACATTTTATAAGTGCAATCTACTTTTGCACAAAGGTAAATACCAGAAGGCACATAGTGATGTAATGTCAACAGCAGATTTAATTTCACAACACGTGAAATAATGTTACCTGAACTCCCTGAAGCCAATTTAAAAGATATTACTGGCAGCAACCCAACTTTTAGGAGAGCAGATAAAGCATACAGTTATTGGCCATAAGAACATTTCATACATTCAAGACAGAACAGATTGTTCAGAATGTTAATCATTTCAGCCAAGCAATCTTTTCCATCCTTCTTTTTTCTAAGAAATATGGTTGCATCACTCTTCAGCTTAGTGTTTTCAGTGTCTCCAATTAATCAGATGGCACACCGTTTCTGCCAACTTCAGAACTGTCTGTATTGATTTTTGGCAAAAATTAGTCTATTCACCCAACGTACCACACACAAAAACACTATGCTTTGAATCAACATTAAAAAGGCTATTTTTACCTACAAATAAATATTTTGAATTCAAATTTCAAGCACACAGGTAAAAGATTTTGTACCTTGACCAGGTCTTCCAGCTCGGAGGTGTTGACACAGGCATGTCTAGAGAGAAAGATCATTTTCTCCTGCAGGATGAGGTACTTCTGAGAGATCTCCTGGGGCTGTTCCAGAGCTTTGAACACCGTGGCTCCGATGATCAGGTACAGGACAACCAGCAGGAAGATCGCCAATACTGTTTTCCACTTCATTACGGTGGTTATGGTATCACAGTCATCACCCGAGTTATACACAATGGGCTTGGAGGAGAACGACAGCCGTGGTTTGGTGTTGTGTGTGGCTGATTTAGGATCTAAAAGATCAGGTGCAGCCACTGGGGGGAACAAAGGGAGAGAGGAGGTAAGACTAAGAGAGAGAGAGCAAATGAGGAGAGAGAGAGAGTTATAAAAGCCAGCAGTAATTCAACTGCCGATGAGGCTTTAATAATTTTGTATTACAGTTTAAAGAATCCTGCTTGATGTATAGATTTCTAGATTTATTTTTCATGCGTCTTTGTACATGAACAAAAACGCATTCATGTTTTTTACATGGAGCCATCAATAAATAATAGTCGCTATGAAAGGCACAGACAGCTGCAGGGTTTTAAAACAGTGATGAGTTCGATTTAGATTATGGACATAGATTTTATGGTTTAAGAGAATCTAAAGCATTTTAAATTCTGTTACCAGGGAATATGGTGTTTATGATCGGGTTATCATAACAGTGTTGAAACATTTGACTGCTTATTTCTTAAAACAGGCATTTACAATTTACTTTAAAAGAGATTTTCATAAAAGAGCATCATTGCAGAAATGGAAAAAAAATACATGTAAACAATTTTCTGAGGAAATATTAAAATAAATTACAAAGAAATGGCAAGCAACACACTGAATTAAACCCAAAAAATCATTTTCAGGGTTGTAAAAGCCAGCGTAGGAGTGAATCTGGCCCTTCATCTGTGAGAATATTAATTTGATTCTTTCTCAGCTGACTTCTGCAGTGTTCCAGCCAAGTGTGAAAACCCTCTCTAGCAAACCAGTGATAGTGGACGTAATGTTCTCCTCACTAGTGTCCAGTATGCAGCGTGTGGAACTACGTTATGCAAGACAGCAAAGTTTCAGCATTAATTTAGAGTTCTGCATAATACAGACATCAGTGCTTATTAAAGATCTAGTTACTTACTGATGAAGCCCCAGAGGGTTCAAGCAATGAATGTCACCACTTATGTGGATGTGAAACTTTAACCCATGCAGATCCATTCAAATAACTTCTCTTTGGTGTTTTGAAATATTTTTATTTGATGATTCTAATAGGACTCGAACTGCCAAACTTAAAAAGTATATCAATAATATTGTGACTTTTACATTAAAGCTAAAGTTGAGCAAGACAAGTCATTAGATCACATTAAAGCGTTTATATATCATTTTTAGCAGAAGAGGCATACTGTACTGAAAAATGTGATTTCAGTAATAATCATCATACAAATCTGTAAAAACGTGTCAAAGCTGTGTGTGGTGTGGCACTGTGATGCATCATTTGAGCTGATCACCTAAAGGTAAAAGGTTCAACCCCTGCAGAAGGCATTTCAATAGCCATTACCAAGTGTATTGCAGTGTTTACAGTTATATTTTACCTTTATCTTCTTTCAGTACCTAATACTGAATACCAGCTAATCTATATTTATCATTTTAGGCCTATTATTTAATTTCAGGAAGAAAAAAAAACGGAATCTACAGTGATTTTGCATTAACTTTATCCAATTATTTGTTCAGAACCAAATCCAAACCGTAATAAAGAAGAACTATTAAAATGAACTGATTATGGTCGCATCTCGAGTAGAATTAAAGCATGATCATATTTAATGTCCCTAGAACATAATTCGGGTGTGAATGGGTTAACTATCGTGCCAAATTTACTACATAATTAACAATTGAATTATGCTAAAAGACATCTCGTACTTACTACTTTGTCAAATCTCTTCTTCTTCCTCATCGGCTATCTTGAGTGCTGGACCTCTCGAGTTGTTGTCTTGCCGTTCTCAGGAGCACACCAGCAAAATCTGGATGTTAATCATGGCAGCAACACACTCGCATCCCTCCGTATTCTCTTCTGGACTATCATGCCTCTGTCCAGTTTTAAATCTCCATGCGAGCTGTATTTTGGAATCCAGTGGTGGATTTCGTGGTTGAGTAAGCACTGAAGTGAGAAGGGAGTGTCCAAAGGGGGCACATGGATAACTGGACTTCTCATCATGAGCGCGCGAGCTGTCCGTCTCCACGCTCTCAAGCGCTCGAGCTCCTCGTTTGTTCGCAAACTGTGGGCAGGTTTCACGATTTCATGCGCGCAACTCCATTGCCGCAGGTCACACCGCATGCCAGTCAATAACAGGGGGAGGAAATCACGGGGAATTTAATGATTCTTGTTCTCTGAACGATTCCGGTTAGGAGCCACTTTTGGGGAGTAGGCTACATATTTTAAAGAACCATAGCAGCTTGTTTCCAAGTGATGAGATAAATTATTTCAACCAAGCAGATAAAATAACAACCGATCATTACAGTGATAGTTGTTTTGAAACGGAAACTGAACTTGTGGTTGTCTTTCTGATTAATTGACTCTTTTCAAATTTCCGGGTTCTCGGAAGCGGAAGTATTTTTTTTAAAAAGCTCTTTAGCAACGAATGAGAGAATACATTAAGTATATATTTTCTGTGTGTTCCCATTTGCTCAAATAGAAAAAGAATAACTCCACAATAGTGGAATTCTTTCATTTCAACAAAACTAGCTATTTTAGAGCTGACAAAACTTGTTTTCCCAGTGTACCCAAACTTGCATTTTAAAACTGCAGTGTTTTTTTTTTTTTTTTTTTTTTTAAACGTAAGGTGCTTAAGCCACTGTTAAATTGTTCCAACAAAGTAGAGATTTTAAGACACTGTTCAAGGTTGCTTTAGGGCATGTTTCAAATATAGATCGCATATTCTTCTCATGTCATTCTAGTTCAAATCATCTATCAGTACTACAAAATTTCCATAATGACTTTGGGAGTGTTCCAGCTGTGAACACATTAACAGCTTACATTCCTGATACATCTCCCATTGAGATGAAAATGAAAAGGCTGAACTTACAACATTAGTTAAAGGACGATTCAGCGTAGGCTATATAGGCTACATTTGTTTGAATATGAACAGAGAAAGGGTTGTCAATAGCAAATGACAATATAACTGCACAGTCAATTTGCATGCACAATTCATTGTATATTAGAGTAGAAAGTCTCAAAGAGTTTAACTTTCCATGACCCCTCATGTTAACTGCACAAACTGTAGAGATGATGTAGTAGTGAATTATCATAGTTCATGTTGAGACATCATGATTTTAAAATACAGCTGTTAAGAGACACCATATTTTATTTCCCATATACACCAGCTTCTGTTTCCCTTTCCTTTTCCCCATTGTCTTTTCACCTTGGCGATCACACTTTCTGTCACTGAAATGGCTAAAATTATGTGTCCTTTGGGCAGTGACAGAATTGCATCAAAGGCACATGTGCATTCACATTCCATGTCCACAGTGTTCATGAGCTTCCTCCATGGACTGTCGTTATCCTCTGCCAGTTTTACTTTGGAATCACAATACCAAACTTAACCATAATATTGGCATGGATCTTATTTCAAGCAAGAACATAAACAACGGAAAACTTGGAAGTGTTGTGAACCTCTTTCATATCCCAAAAAAAAAAAAAAACTAACAAAAAACAAACAAAACAACAACTCACTTTTATAGCTCAGTTTCAAGCATCACAATTTTGCCAAACTTTTTAAAGAAAGAATTAAGAAATGATTAACATGCAGAATTACTCAATAGGCCTGTAGATTATTCAATAATGAATATATTTATATAATATCTTTGTTAAATGACTGGATTGCAAGGCATAAAAGGTAAAGCCACCGCGGCACCATTTTGGTATTCCCGATTATTCCCTCACATTCAATTGAATTAATAGAAAATCATCTGATTTTAAAGAGAACACCTGTAGTGCTTGTAACCATCTTCTTAATTTGATACTTAATTTGACTCTTGGCAATTTAGTTTACTGAGCAGCTACACAAATTCTCATTAAAGTAAAGTAAGTGATGTGACTCCTGCAGAGAAACACTGTTTACACTATCAGGTTTCTAATTAGATATAATTTTTGACCAGAATTTGACCTATGGCACATACATCCGTTTTAACAGCCAGTAACCGGAAAAATGCCAACTATGTGATTGTATTGAGACTGTAAGCCTCCCACAGGAAGACAATTAGCAAAGATTAGCACACCTGGTCTTTTTCTACCACTTAATGTGTAGTTTAGAGACTGTGTTTATGAACAAATGGAAATGAACTGTGCCTTTCTCCAGAATCATTTTCACTAAGCTATATTTCAGGTCAGAATACACAGGGACATGGACATATTTTCTATTCATATCACATCTTTCCTTTCAGTGCACTGAAAATGAGAATCCTGCTATATCCCACATTATTTCTTCTTCACTGTATGGATAAAAACACTAAGCAGTTTTGGAACGACATCAGGATGAGTAAGTAGGGGAGAGTGGGGCACAACCTAACGCTTTTTGGTTTTGGCTCAATTAATTAAAAAATAATTAGCTAAGAATATTTTTTTTACACAAGCAACATACACATCTCTGCTACAATTGAACACTTAAAGTTTTTTTCTAGGACCTACCATTTTCGTACAGTTAGACTGAAAGTGACAGAAGTGCAAATGTTACAACTTACCCCATATGCGGGATTAATTGTAACAGACAGAGGGGTTAGTTGTAACAGTTGTGTGTAACACACATAATTCAGTACAATTTTATTTGTACAGTTTGATATTGTTTGTGCATCTGTATAGTAGATATCCATACACCCATCCCTCATCCAATCATCCTTCTATTTTGGATAAATATCATGGATAGAGACATAGAAAAGGGCTGCACAGTTTTGCAATAAATAATAATAAATAAAATCATAAAATACTGCAATTGCAATTGAATTAGATTTGTGTGTGGCAGCTGCATGTAAAATTATTATTATTATTAATAATAATAATAAGAGTAATAATAATACAAATGAGCTTAAAATAAAAATTATGGGTTTATTGCATTAAAAACAGGCCATATTTGTAATAAATAAACAAGTGATCAATGCATAGTAAACTAAATTTTAAACATTTTAAATTCCAACATTGTTTGAGAAAGTCCAACAAAGTTAAATATATAAATAATACTCAAACCTGAGAAGTTGTGTGGCTCCCTGTTTTCATTTGATTATCATTTTACACTTGGCGGCTTGTTTGTAACACTGTGTTACAACTAACCCCGCTGTGTATTACATGTTTTAAGCCTAGCTAACAGTCGCTAGGAATTGCGGACATGTTTCAAAACGGTGCTATGTTTGAGCCAACAAGACAGTGATTAAGGCAATATAAAGTTGTATTTGTAAACGTATACACCCAACTCAGAAACTGAAGAAAAAAAAAACATGATGAAAAAATGTACAAAACACTCGTCCAGTATCTTCACGAAATATTAGTAAAACTTTCCGAAAATTCACGGGAGACCGTCTTTTGGCAGCAAGACAAAAATAGCGTAAACACAACCTGCGTGTCCCTGAGAAACTACATAAACGGTTTGTGTTACATTAAACCCTGCGTTAGGTTGTGCCCTGCGCTCCCCTAATAATTTCATTTTTCAACTTTAAGAACAGATTCATTCAATTTATCATATTATGGGCCAACAACCAATGCGGCAATCATCAATATTACACTGTAAAAAAATATTTATGGTTTAACTTAAAAAAGTAAGTAACCTGGGTTGCCTTAAAATTTTAAGTTGATTGAACTGGAAAAAGTGAGTTAATACAATGAAGTAGATTAATTTAACCATCAGAAACTCAAAATAATAAGTTATCTCAACTAAATAAATTATTATAAAGTTGATTTGACAAAAGAAAATATGTTGTGATAACAAATCTTGAAAACATTTTTTTACAGTGTAGGATATTATTCCTTTAACATAGAAAACTTGTTAAACAAGCAGGATAAACATTACAGGACGTGTCTATCAGTATTGTCATGTCTTTAATCCTGCTGTCCCATCTTGCAGAATAAAAATCTTTATGTACAGCCAACGCATTCTCATCCTTTAGCGTCATATCGAACGCTATATGACAAAACGGCGCTATACTACGCACATGGCACCCGTTATCGTTAATATAACACGCGCTGTGAGGGCTAAGTTTAGGTGTGGGGTAGGGTCTGCGTGTCATATTCACGCTAAAGGATTTATTACGTCTCGGGTTCGCGTGTTATATTAACGATAAAGGGTGCCATGTGCGTAGTATAGCGCCGTTTTGTCATATAGGGTTTTATGTGACGCTAAAGGATGAGAACGGGCTGGTACAGCACATTTGGGCTTAAGCTCATGACTAGCATAAGTCCATTTATTGGCATTCACTCTTCACTTCAATTGACTACTCGAAAAAACACTTGGGTCAAATGTCAAACTGCTGACTCATTGTAAATCTCAGGGAGAACATCCACTGGCATTTGAAAGTTAAACAGTGCCCATTCTTTTTTTAGGGGCTCACAGTATAAAAATAGAGGGCCGTTTTCTGATCTTAGCAAGATAACGGTCTAATCCACGTTACATAACATTTTGAGAAGCAACCCCTTGACCCATGCAGTGTGAAAATATTTAGCTTGTGTTTGCCATGCACGTGAATGAGCTTATGCTATGCCTTAGAAAAACACTGACATTGCATGAAGTTTCACCAGTGTGGTCAGTGGGAAAGTTCTCCTGAGCAAACTTTTACTTGGACCATTTTATCAGTCCATCTCCAAGTCAAAAGACAATACATTGAAATAGCACCAGCGAGAAAGTTATTATGAAATTCTTAATTTAGAAAGTTGCTTCGAAATAATAATACATCACCATTAATGTATTATGAATAGATGGCCGTTTTAATTTTTCACTTTTGGCCTTGAGGACTTATATGGTCACATATATGGTGTAGTTAAAGGGATAGTTCACTTTGAAATTAATTGTTGATATGTTTTAGCTTACCTCAAGGGCATCCATGATGTAGTAGGTGTCTTTGTTTCCACAGTATTTTCAATTTTTACATTTTTCAGTCAAACCGTTGTTGTCTATCAGTCATACACTGGAGGCTAAGGGGGTCCACCAAAAAGGATGCACAGAGAAGTCAAAATTAAACATGATTTAATGACTCGTAAATGTAAGTACACATTGATGGCCGAAGACACAAAACGAGCGTTTTTTGTGAGAAAACGAACAGTATTTATATCGTTTTACCTCGTGTAATCACAGTGTCGTCCAAGTGATCTGAATCAGTTGTGCAATGTCCAACTGAAACGAATTGAATCAGTTCAGTGTTATGCTGGAAGTGATCGCTTGCGTGTGATGTCACTCAAAATTTACACGGAGATTTCGGAAGTTTTACCTTTTA